GTTAATGGGTGTGTTGATATCCAGCCGAAGAGCAATCAACCATAACTTCAGGCGAGCAGGCTCAGAAGTTGGGAATACGTGGAAAGTCACCACTCCCTAATGAGTTCACGCGCAAGAAAGTAATCTTTTAGTTTTAAGTCGGTTTGAACAATCCGGATAAGCGCAAGTAAGTACCATTTTGATTAGCCGTCGTACCAACAATGACTGTGCACTGTGTAAACAATAAGTGATGTATACGCGCGAGAGATCACTTTGGACGCTTGCGTAAACTACGCCAGAGCGCGTACACACCTCACGCACCGGATGCTGTGTGCGCGCTCAAGGCAGTTGGACATAGTGGTGTATTAGAGGTAAAAAATTATATAAATACTGTTCGGTTTCTGGCACAAACCGATCGTTTCGTGTCTTAGGACATCAATGTGTCGTCACGAGCCGCAGGGTTTAATTTGGATTTGTCTGTGCATGTTTTTTTTACTCTCATAGATTTTGTTACCATTGCCATGCATTATACGACTGATAGACTGCAACGGCTGGAGTTAAAAATCTCTGTTTGTGTTCCACTGAAGAAACAAAGTCGCCTACAGCTTGGAGGCCCTGGGGGCAAGCAGATAAACATCACATTTTCATTTTTGGGTGAGCTATCCCTTTAAGTGTTTGCAGGTCAATTTCTTTGTTCTATTGTAATTAATGACTGTTTACTTGTCTTCAGTAAGTTTGTTTTTACATAGGCTAGTATTTTTTTGTTGTTGAGATATTGGAATTGGTAACAAGAATTATGAAACTTTGATTGGATAAAAATCCTATTTTAAGCTATATCATTATTGTGACGGGGGGCCCTGCAGTAAGTCATAGCCCCGGGGCCCAGTGAGGTCTTAATGCGGCCCTGCTTCTACTACACACTTCAAATGTATGCACTTTTCCTTCACAGTACATATTTTAAGGGTGTAGTATAAGTAGGCACATTGCGCATCAAGATATTTGAATCCACTGCGGAAAGAAGGAGTTCTGCACAAAAGAGGGTTTTTAAGACACTCCGTTGTTGTTTCTCATGCATTTACCAACGTGATCTCATGATAATTCGTATGTATTTTACGTAAAATGTGGTTCTATAAGAACTATAAAATACTCCAAAACGCAACATAATTACGAAATGAAACAATTTTATTAGTGCGCTGTAATACAAATCTTCCGAATCCATAGGACTGCGAAGAACAGCCCCAAATCCAAGCCTTCTTTCGGCGATCTTCTTCTCCATCCCGAGCAGCGAGTCCAGTGACCGTGAGCAGCAAAGCCCGCGCTGACTGATGTGCTCTTTACAAATTCAAATGTTGCCGCTTCAAACGACAGATTTTATGGCAGGATAATCGAACGCTCATTGCTCTCGCCTGCATTCGTCACAGATTGCGACATGTCGTGTTTTCCGTTGTTGTTTCTCATGCATTTACCAACGTGATCTCATGATAATTCGTATGTATTTTACGTAAAATGTGGTTCTATAAGAACTATAAAATACTCCAAAACGCAACATAATTACGAAATGAAACAATTTTATTAGTGCGCTGTAATACAAATCTTCCGAATCCATAGGACTGCGAAGAACAGACCCAAATCCAAGCCTTCTTTCGGCGATCTTCTTCTCCATCCCGAGCAGCGAGTCCAGTGACCGTGAGCAGCAAAGCCCGCGCTGACTGATGCGCTCTTTACAAATTCAAATGTTGCCGCTTCAAACGACAGATTTTAGGATTTGAGGATAATCGAACGCTCATTGCTCTCGCCTGCATTCGTCACAGATTGCGACATGTTGTGTTTCTGGTGAGGTGTGTTTGAATGATGCGCCGCGCGTTCCTTCACGATTGGGAAAATGATCTGGATAATATTTTCAGCGATTAACAACATATATTCTGCTCTGGATCACACAAACCGCCAGAGAGGAGTGCGGGTGCAACGCATCATTTGGATTACATTTGGTGCTGCTTTTGACATTTTTGCAATAAATAAATGATTGTAATTGCATTTATCTGTCTGTCATGTTTTTCTTATACTGTACAGAAATGTTTAGGTTTATAGGTAGGAGTGGAATTAGTGACTATAAAAATATTTTAATGCTATTTTGTTACTAAAATGGTTATTTTCCTGTGTATTTCGGTCATTTGCGTTTTATATCCTTTTATATTTGTTATATGGGTTACGTTAGGTTAAGGTTTGGGGGTAGGTTAAGGGGTCTAAAAATCTAAATCGCTTATAGATAAAATGATAAAAATGCATTGATACGAATATCTTGATGATATGAAAGATACGTTAATATTTGTACGTTTTTTAGCTAAAAATATGTAGTGATTTGTACGTTTTAAATGTTGAAATACGTCTAAATTGTACGTTTTAGCATTAATAAAAACGTACAAAAGTGTACGTTTTGTGCTTGTAAATGTTACGTATTAATACCTACGTATAAACATGAGACCAGGCTGGCATTTACAAACTCGTGCAATCGAACTGTTGTATAAACGCAATATAACACTTGTAGCCGTGCTATATGGCTATATATCGGCATGCTGTGATTACCTACGGCATTCTACTGCTTGTGTGATATTGCTCATTTATACATATGCGTCTTCTATGTTAAAGGCTTTTACTTCCTTGGAAGCCTCAACTATTTTTTCTGAAAGGTCATTGGAGAAAACATATCCCATTCCCAGCAGGTACGTGGGGTATTTTGGTTCAGGGTACAATTCCTCTGCCACGTACCATTTAGAGTTTTTGTCTCTGATAACAGGCCGGTCCCACATCAAATGCCCTGTGATGTAGTTCTGTCCGGGTGTGTTGGGTGACAATAAGAGGCTCATCAGGTTCTCCAGGTTTATGTACATGTCAGAATCAACCTTCAGATAAAATGATAAAAATGCATTGATACGAATATCTTGATGATATGAAAGATACGTTAATATTTGTACGTTTTTTAGCTAAAAATATGTAGTGATTTGTACGTTTTAAATGTTGAAATACGTCTAAATTGTACGTTTTAGCATTAATAAAAACGTACAAAAGTGTACGTTTTGTGCTTGTAAATGTTACGTATTAATACCTACGTATAAACATGAGACCAGGCTGGCATTTACAAACTCGTGCAATCGAACTGTTGTATAAACGCAATATAACACTTGTAGCCGTGCTATATGGCTATATATCGGCATGCTGTGATTACCTACGGCATTCTACTGCTTGTGTGATATTGCTCATTTATACATATGCAATCCTTTTGAGTACGATCAGCCAAAGTGCTGTTAATTACCTTAATCCTTCCTGATCAATTTTTCTTGCGTGCATTTCATATCCATTATATGAAAATATTCCATAGTTTGTTTGGGGCTGGTCAGTAAAATCTGTACAATAATATGACTAGCAGTTATCAGGCCTGTTGGTCCTGTTTTTTTTAATGTTAGCATTATCTTCTGCAAAATGGTAGCAAATTACAGATAGTATTGAGTATGTTTACATATATATATAAAAAAAACGGACTCCTAAAACAACCAGCTTATAATGAAAATATAAAGCATGTTTTAAAACAATAGTTCACCCTAAAATTCTTCTTTCATTTACTCACCCTCATGTCGTTTCCAACCTGTATGTTTTCTGTGGAACACAAAATAACTTGTTTTGATGAATATCAGGTTGCGTGAATCCAATATAATGGAATTATGGAATGGAAAAATAATGACTCAAATGAATTTTTATTACAACACCAAAGAGTGTAAGCAAAATGAAATAAGCCATGTGGCGAAACAGAGAAACAAATATGTAAAAAAAAATGTTGTTTAATTTGGGTTGGGACTACATGCATCATTTTGTTACATTAACTGAAACGGCATGGGTGGATTCTGCACTGCTACGACAACATCAATATAAAAAAAGAAATTTACATTGCGAACATTCTGTACATTTAATGTATCAACTGTTTGGGGTACTGGTTCAGACAGAGCCAAAAACTACCAGAAATACTGGTTTCACAACAGTGTTTCTGCTTTTGCACCTCCACCTGTCCACTTTTTATGTGAACAAAAGCTAATGTATACAGTGGAACTGGTAATGAATAAAACTCCAGACATCAGTGTAAACAAACCAAAAAGAAATATGGCAGATTCCCTGGAGATGAGCGAGCATCATTGTCTTAAGTACATTTTCATCAAGGAAACATTATTCCATTCAGTACATTAACCTTCGAGGTTTACGTTTTTCACCCCATTTCCTGTAAAAATCAAATTCATTCTGACAATAAAAGGGCTCCTGGAAAATGTGTAGCTATTATGTTACTCACAGCAACAAAACAAACCCCACATAATGAGGACAATACCGTAGAGAGGATGTTCCCATAGGTTCCTGATGTGTGTTTTAAGCTATCTATCTATCTATCTATCTATCTATCTATCTATCTATCTATCTATCTATCTATCTATCTATCTATCTATGATACAAACAAAATGAGTATCATTAAAGAAGGATACGTTTCAGTTGTGGGTTTGTTCACCTGTACATCACAGGTGCAAAAATAAAATAAAAAAACCTTCCCAGCTCCACCCCTCCACCCCACCTGTTGCTAGGTATAAGAGACGGGTATTTCAGCAGGGAATATGTGAAGCAGTAAGATCAAAGCCGAACTCCCCAGAATGGCTACTAAAAACATTTGGCAAAGGTAAGCAATTTCGTCTTTTATAATCATCTTACGACATCTTATTACAATCTTAGTAACTTGATGTGCTTTGAAATTAAACTGAAATCAAATTAGGACAATTAGCTGTGCTAATACTAAACATATCTGCATTGATTAAAAGGTGATGGGATGTAAAAAATATATTTCACTTTGTTTTTTTCAGTGTCTTTCATTTTGTGATAGAAAAGGGAAACTGAAAGTCAAATGTAAGATGATACAGAGGAAGAAGAAATGTATTATTAAAGCAGGGAACAAAGTAACACTTTGGGACTTGAGACAAAACTGGCAGTCCTGGCAGTCAAATTATAATTTTACATTTAAAAATTAAAATGATTATTTTTGTAAAATTCAGAAACGTACTAGAATAGCGTATGTTGTAAGTTGCAGGTTTTATCTTTGTAAGAACTGCATTTTAATTGTATCTTAAATATATGCCAAGTTGGCTGGTTTTCCAGGAAATTAAACACCAATGCAAATCACCTGCAAGCATAGACTAGATAACATCTTGATTCAAGTTACCTCACTGTTCCTCTGAAACACCCTTGCATAAAAATAGCACTTACAGCATTCGAAATGCCTTGCTGTCAAAATATGTACTGCATTTGATGACGAAATTGTTTCTCGACCTTAATTCATGTATGTAATGTAATTTATAAATGTCATTTTGATCCACCTATAGCCAAACGCTTTCTCCCACTATTTTCGAATATGACGACTAGCCTAGCGTCAACTAATAGCCTAACATGTTTATCAGATGCCTACTTCAGAATGGTGGTAAAACAGAAGGCCATATGGGAATTTGTAGAATAAAATATACAAAAAAATTACTCTTATCGTCAGGTTTCTTTTATGAAACTTAAAATAGATACATTTGCGTTTTCTCGCCTTTCTGTCTTCCAGTCCGCGATTTAGAAATCTATACCGATTTGAATCACACTGACGAATACTTGAATGATTCAACTCACTGAATCAGTCAAAGCGCATACATCTGATTTACTGAACTGAGCTACAAGCCATCTTTAACTGCTGTCTATGTGAAAAAAAATTAAGCACATGTAGGCCTACCTAAAGTTCACGAAACCTAAAAAGATTAGGGTTAAGGATTTGAGATCATAATGAATTACAGGCCTATTTAAAAACACATTTCAACTGTGGTTTCACTGTGAAATGCATTTTTGATCCGTTTCTCTTTTTTTCCTCTGCAGTTTGGCTCAGGATAGTGGTCCATTTATGCGTCACATTAAAAAGACATTTATTCTGCTGCTCACATTAGCATTTTTATTGTCTGCTGTTGCTTATGTCTGTTTAACATAGAAGACGCATATGTGGGTGCTTGTCTGAAACAGTTGGGCGTTGCACCCTCATCTCCCCCAGACCCTTCACAGTTTAGAGCCTATCTGGGACAATATAATCGAGAAGATTTTCTCAGAGTTATTACGACAATCCTGGGATCCCCACAGCAGCTAATAGACATTTGGAAGGATGTAAAGAGGCCCACATAAAAGTACTGCAGCACTATAGGACTATGACATACGCATGTGGACATGCTGACTCTATTTCGATGGGGCCAGGGGATCGTTTGAGGAGCCACTCACGCAAAATGCACTCCTGCGGAAGAACGTCTTGAGACACGTTTTTAAAGTTTAACTTCTTTAAAGTTTAACACAGCACTCTGCCTGAGGTGCAAATGTCAAAGAAATCAGCAATGTTTGTTTACATAGAAAAATAAAAGCAGAAGAGTGGAACAAAAATGGTTGTGCAATATTACAATAACCTTTCATAGACTATTACAGTTTTTAACTTTAAATTTGTAGTTTTATGGAATTAACACAAAAGTACATACTGTATGTATACATACACAAACATAAATTCCATATAATAACAATTTTAACTGAAAGGTTGAACTGTGTTTGCAAAGCGAAGGTATTTTTCCATAAATCCCTGTTGGGGCAGGTTGTCAACTGGTGTCATATTTACCTTGTAAATTGAAACTGTAAACTAATTCATTTACCATTTCTGTTGGCCAGAACAAGGGTTTGATTTATATGCATTATGTTTTTCACTTTTATTGTTTCATGGGTTATTATGCGTTTCAGAACTGATTTACTCTTTTAGTATTGCTGAAAAAAAAGTTTTCCTAGATCAATGCTCAATGTTCAGTGAAAGCTTTAACTCAAATGTGCCTCACCAGTCTAAAAAGAGTATTTAGTGAAACTGCAGATTTGTAAAAAAAAAAATTTTTTATGTATAAATGTGTTTTTGTTTGTGAACTACGTGTTTTATCTTACAGTCATTACTGTAAAATAAGGTTTCTTTCAGAACTGATTTACTCTTTTAGTATTGCTGAAAAAAAAGTTTTCCTAGATCAATGCTCAATGTTCAGTGAAAGCTTTAACTCAAATGTGCCTCACCAGTCTAAAAAGAGTATTTAGTGAAACTGCAGATTTGAAAAAAAAAAAAAAATTTATGTATAAATGTGTTTTTGTTTGTGAACTACGTGTTTTATCTTACAGTCATTACTGTAAAATAAGGTTTAATTTTATTATATAAGGTTCATATTCTCAAACAATGATCTCAGCCTTGCATTTATTTTTGCTTTGGATAAAACTGCTAGATTTTTATACGGAAATTTTGTGATGCACTATTCTCAATTGTATCCTCTCACACAGGATATTATGCAAATCAGGATACACCCAGGTTTGACTATGCTACAAGTAATATGAATTAGATTATCTTTACCAGGTACACAGCTGGTAATATGAACACATGGTTCTACATTTCTAAGCAATGTAATATTATATGAGACGTTTCATCTAATCAGTAACTAATAATTTTGGGCTGAAAAACTTCCTGCTTGAGTGGGCGGCAGGCCAACTCATCACCCTGGTTCCCTCCACAAAAAGCTACAGCATTTCTCCATTGGCTTTGGGATTGCTCCAGGAAATAAACTCTGTGACCAACAAAAGTTTATGATTCTTAGACATTTTTATCAATATAATATTTACAAATCAACACAACATTTATGAATTTTGAAGCCTAAAATATAATCACTAGCCACCTTTCCTACAGCACCTGAAGACTAGACAGGCTTTCTCAGTAATGATCCTTTTCTGAAGATATATAGCTTCATCAAGTGGTCACACAGTAACACAACATCCTATGGGCCTCTTTTATGACACACCAGCATCAATTAATTACGTGATTTGTATAGGAACGTCCTGCATACATACCCATGAAATGAAAATGAAATGTTGATATCCTACAAGGAAACGATCACCGATGGTTAAAGAGTTTTAATTTTTCGTTTTGTCAGAAAAAAGCAATGTCTTTAGACATTCGTGTTTAAATGCTGCACCCTGCTGGTGACTTTTATGAATTACTGTTCGAATGAATTACAATAGAGCACTGATTACCTGAAGCTTTTAATAGGTTTAACTGAACCCAGATAGCACACGTACATCTGCAAGATGTCTGCTCAAGATCACTTGATCTGGAAAGCATCTGTACAAACACCCAAGTAGCAAATGTTTTCTGGTCCAGGGGCCCATTCTTCGTACGTCGCTGTTAGCTGGATGTGATTGTTGATGATTTGGCTTGATCTTGGATTGTTTGGTTCTTTGAAGCTCATCCCGGAGTTGCTGTCATAGCAACAGGTCCGTTTGCTCAAACCTGCTCGGGAGCAGCTTATTTCATGTAAACAGGATTAGATCACATCTTTTTAAGCAGAATTGATACTTAAAATCTGTCACCACTACTTTATTACAAGAATATCCTACTGATCCAGGGACAATAATTAAAAATAATAATCATTTAAAATTAAGCAGAATTGATACTTAAAATCTGTCCGCTACCACCACTACTTTATTACAAGAATATCCTACTGATCCAGGGACAATAATTAAAAATAATAATCATTTAAAAATTAATTTAAAGATAATATAATAATGTTGTGTAGTCAGACACAGCCAGTTTTACTCACTGAAAGATTTGTTCATCATAAAATTATTACTTCATAAATGTATTCGAGACTTACACATGCTTTACAGATAATTATTATTATTATTTTTGCTTTACAGATAATGTAGAGTCGTGCATTAATTTGAGTGATGACAGCTATTATGGGAGTGGCTTGATGGAGCGCAGGAGATGCAGATAACATGATCTTGACCCTTAAGAAACTTTCAATAATGCTGTCACGTAACAAATCTGTTCAAATATAAAATTAAATGAATTGCTAATTACTACACTGAAATAAAAATGTAACGCCTGTACAAAAATTTGAAATCGTGAATATAAATAATTGGGAATCATGTAAACAATTTTAATAAAATAAAAACACATTTAATTTATCTATTATAAGATTTATGTAGTTTTGTTCGCTTGGCTGTTTCCTTATAAAAGTCCAGAAATTTGTCAAGTTTTTTGTCAGGTGTCTTTTTGAATTATATGATATCATTACGTTGCTGTCTTGCCGCCAGCCAATCGCTGCGTTGCTGATCGTGGTTTCGAGTATCGATACAGAGCCCCTTTTAAACCAACCCATGAACGCGCATTTATCTCAGATAACTCAATCCAGACAGACTAATCATCAACAACAGGTGTGTTTGAAGAACCGAATTAGCCAGATCCTAATTAGCGCGATGATATAATCTTGGATGTGACATTTCATCTCGGATGTAATAAGCGACGAACGAAGAACGGGCCCCAGGGCCACACTCCTCCCACCACTATGTTTACATGCAGAATTTTTGGTTCAATCGGACGGAATTTATTCCGATTGATGAATCTGAATGTAGTGTTTACATGAACGCTAAATAAAGTGATCGGGTTGATGTGCGCCGTTTATATGTCACAAGCTTCAAATCGGAATAGATTTATTTTTTACATGCGCACACTTCACAAATATGGAGTTCCTCACTGTTTGCATTTAAAAAAACACTCTCCTACACGGTTTCTTTATTTGTTTTTAACAGCAGAATTAATATTTATCCAATACATAAGCTACACATATAGCTTATATGTTTGCTTATATGTTTATATGCTTATATTTACTATATATAGCACTTTCTATTTTAATTCTACTTTATCTATTTATCTTCTATTGGGCCACCATTGCTTATATGTTTATATGCTTATATTTACTATATATAGCACTTTCTATTTTACTTTTCTACTTTATCTATTTATCTTCTATTGGGCCACCAGGGGGGTATTGCACAAAAGCAAGATAAGGGATTAAGCTGGGATTTTCCAGTTATCCTGGTTGAATTTAGCCCTGACTCAGTTGCATGAAAGCAGGCTAAATTAAGCTAAGTTATGTTGCTATGGAGATTTATTCGTTGCAGCTAGCCTGCTCCAGGGCTAAGATTAATCCTAGTGATTTATCTGTTAGTTCCGCTGTCAATCCTACTAGAAATTAATGTTTTACAGTCACTCCATGGTCTTCTGTAAATATGTTGCATCATTTTAATTATTCTGCATTAAAATACTAGATATAGTCATTCATAGAAGTATGCCAATTTTAGTGTTATTATGAAGACTGTTCATATTGCTGTCAGAGTTTTGATGAATACATATATTATTGCAGTTGTTGAGAATCTAAGAAATGGCTGATGAAGTTGCAAAGGTGGTTTCATTTAAGTCCATGACGAGGTCAATGTGTAGTATATATAGGCTTTAGGTGTTTCCTCTTAGCGATGGCGTGCCCTTTGTTGGATGATGTACTAGACGAGGAAGTGTTAATACTCAGACGAGCATTCAGGCATGAAAGAGTCTTCCGGGACAGGTCAGACCCGTTGGCCTTTGCAGACGAATATCTGACTGAGAGGTACAGATTCTCAGGTGATGGCATCCGATATCTGTGTAGGCTGCTGGGTCCAAAGATACAACACAGAACAGTGCGAAGCCACGCTCTCACTGTCCCACAGATGGTCTGTGTGGCGCTGCGATTCTTAGCAAGTGGCATGTTCCTTTATTCTGTTGGAGATGCTGAAAACCTCAATAAAGGCACTATTTGCCGCACGATAAGAAATGTTAGTCTAGCACTGAAATCACTTGCGCACATATTCATCACCTTCCCTGGCCACAGAAGATTCCACCACATCAAGGAGGAGTTCTACAAGATTGCAGGTAACACTAATTACAGATTACAACAAAAAAGTGTTACATTAGCACAGTCACAGTAGGAAACTCATTTTTTACAGCTTTCCCTAATGTCATTGGTGCAGTGGATTGCACCCATATCCGTATCAAACGGCCCTCAGGGGCACATGAGGGAGATTATGTTAACAGGAAATCTTTCCACAGTATCAATGTTCAGGTAAGAATGATTTATGGTTACTGTCAGCTACATAAATTATTTATGTGCATTAAATGACCTTAATAGGTCACATGTTATTGTTACAGATGATCTGTGATATATTGTTCTCTGACCAGTCTACCATTTATGTTATCTGGGAAGATGGCAGCATCTTCCCAGATAACATAAATGGTAGACTGGTCAGAGAACAATATATAGCAAATTATTTCAGTTAATTTTGTTTTGATTTCGCCTATCCTTTAATAAAGCATAATGTATGTCACTCTTTCATGTGTGCATGCATTTTGTTTGACATTAGTAGCACACACTGTGTGGTTATCTTCCAAAATTCTAGTTCCAAATATAGTGTACTGGACATTAATGAAAACGGTACGAGACCACAATGTTTTTGTATTTTTTTTATTTTGCTGTCATCACTTGTCAGCTTGGAGCTTTTGAGAGAAAAAATAACGATGATTAATACATTGTGCAGTCATGGTTGCAGTGTGAACTGAAATCACTTACTTCTCTCTCTAGTTTCTGGATTTCAAAGTCCAGTTTCCTCAGTGTCTTGCAGTCCTGCAGCTTTCTCTTGTTCACTTCGATCTTGCCCTCTGCCAG